GAACTTCTGTTGTTAAAGGGTCATACAGCGGAGGAAACAAGACACCCAGTGAAGACCAGGAGTGCCTTCCTCAAATATAAACTGAGCCGAAGGAGGAAGTTAATTTTTTGTATCAATGAGTCCAGCTGACTGGAAGTGCTAGTAGGTTTCCACAGAACCCCGTCATACATTTTCACATACATAGTTTCTTTTAGTAAAACTGACCACAGCTTCTGCTGCAGTTCTTTTAAAATAAAACAAAACGTATTTCTTAAAAAGCAACCTATTTTTATAAAATCAAAAGAAATAGGATATGGATGATTAACTAAACTTGTTATTTTAATGTCAATATATATAAAAGATATTTTTCAGAAATATATCAAAATATCTCAATACAAGAAAAAAGATGAAAGGTGTCTTGACAGAAGACAGCGCACATTTAGCGATGATTTCCTTTTTCAAGGTTTCTGTTTTTGCCTGGTTCCAAACATGAGAGTACGTCTGTAAATAACCTGCTTAAACATCCATATGTTTTCATTTCTAAACCGCAGGACTGTTATAGATAATTTTATGTAGAATTTTATAGATTTCTGCTCATGTTCAAATCTTTCTGCAAATTAAATGGTGACCCAAAATCCAAACAAATGAAAACAGATGCAGAGCATAAAAATACACTTGGAGAGTTGATTAGGAACAAGACAAAGATGAGAACAATCAGGACTATCAGTAAGAAGTAAGAAAACCGAATTTCAAAGCAAAACAGAAAGTAACTTAGGGAAAAATACTCAAAAGAGACCAGAAGAAACAGTGACATCAGAGATGTGGGAACAGACAGAGAAATTACAGAGTGAAACTCAAAACAGAAACTGTGTCAGAATAAAGAACAAGAAGTCAAATACAGTAAAACTATTTTCATGCATGTGTTATGTAATGTACATTCAGGTCATATGTCTGCTTATTAAAGCTGGTGGACACGACATATGAAAAATACAGTAAAATTATAGCTCGACATGCTAGAATCAGAATAAAAACATGAACCAAAACTCTGTAAATGGGACACAACAGAAATATTTTTTACAAACCACATCACAAGGAGTCAAATTTAAAACCAAAACTTTGAGACCACAACAATAACAAAAAAGAGAGATAGAAAGTGTCGAGGACTCAGGGTCCATGACACAAACTAAGACGATTAACTTTAGAGACATAAATACCCTTAGACCAGGCTAGTTCCACGCTTAATTGTAGAAATATATAATGCAAAGTGAAAATGAAAACTGTCTTTCTCTGTCATTTCTTTTTGATTTCATTTTGATTTCCAATCACCCAAATTACAAAGAAAGTACAAAGATGTTTTTGTAAAAAAAAGTAATTTTTGTATCCATGTGTATCTCAGTGGAGGTGTTGAGTAGATTTTATCAGAACTCAACCACAGATTTCCATATGCATCATTTCCCACAGGAAAACTGACCACAGCTTAAGCTGCAGTTCTTTTAAAACAAAAGAATCACATTTCTTGAAAATCAACAACTTTGGAGAAGAGTTATTTTACTGTAAATTAAATAAAAATCTTATCAAAATGTAAAAAAA